TCTACGTCGACTACCAAGACTTGACTTCTAAAACAAAACCTTAAATTAAAAGTTAACTAAACCCTAATGTAAACCAATTAAGCATTTAAAAGAACTAAAATACAAAAATACAATTAACTTAACAATTAAATAAATTAAAACACCATAATTCAAATAACTCACAATTAAGTCAAATATCAAGCAAATAAACAAATAAATTCAAATATTCAAATACACAAGCAATTAAACATTTTAAATTATTAAAATGCAATTAAATAATTAACTAAAATAGCAGGACAATCCTTTTTAAAATTAGGGGTATTACATTCTTCCCCTCTAACCAAAGGAATTCCGTCCTTGGAATTCGATCTTACATTCTTCCCATAATTTAGGAAACTGCGAACGAATGACATTTTCCCGTTCCCAACGAGACGTAGCCTCATTGGGATGACTCCACTGAACATGAACTAAAGGGATAACCTTATTACAAAAGATTTGATCCCGACGGTCAATAATACGATCCATTGACCCCAACTAAGTTGCATCCGGCTGCAACTCAATCTCCCCAACATCGATATGCTGGTACCGATCCTCATCGCGCAAAAAGTTCCGCAACATGGAAACATAGAACACATTGTGTACATGATCTAAATTATTCGGCAATGCCAACCTATAAGCTACAGCTCCAACTCGATCTGTAATCATGAAAGGACCGACAAACTGGGGTGACAACTTTCCTTTCTTCCCAAAGCGCATTTCTCCTTTTATAGGAATCACTTTGAGTAGAACCTGATCCCCACCCCTAAACTCCAATGCACGAGTACGACGATCTGCATAACTCTTCTTCTTACTCTGGGAAGTGTGCATACGATCCTAGATAAGAGAAATCTTGTCAGAAGTATCCTTAATAAAATCAGGACCCAAAAATCTGCTCTCTCTAACCTCCATCGAACAAACAGGCGATCGACACGATCGGCCGTATAACGCCTCACATGGTGCCATCCCAATAGTCTTCGGGAAACTATTATTATAAGTAAACTCCCCAAGCGGTAAGTAATCCTCCCAGTAGCCCGTACAAGCAAGAACACATGACTAAAGCATATCCTCCATGATCTGAGTAACCCTCTCAATCGGTCCATCAGTCGGAGGATGATAAGCAGTACTAAGGTGTAATTCTGTACCCAAAGCCTGCCAAAAACCCTTCCAAAATCCTGACACAAGCTAGAATCCCTGTCCGAGATAATAGACAATGGAATACCATGCAACTCGTTAATCTGTCCATGATGACCCAAATGGAATTGTCATCCCCGAAGGAATTGGGCAACCCTTCCACAAAATCCATAGAAATGCTCTCCCTTTTCCACTCCAGTATCGACAGTGGCTGTAGAGTTCCTGGCGGCCTCTGATGATCAATCTTAACCATCTGACAAGTACGACACTATGAAATAAAAACAGTAATGTCCCTCTTCATACCTGCCCACCAAAACTACCGCTTCATATCCTGATACATCTTGTCACCTCCCGGATAAACAGAAAACTCAGAGTGGTAAGTCTCAGTCATTACATCATTCCTCAACTCATCAGCAGAAGGTACCACTAACCGTCCCTTATACCATAAACCTCCATCAGTCCCAATGTAGTAAAATGGAACCTCTCGAGAAGCTATCTCTGCAATTGTGTCCATGCACTGCTGATCCGTGAGTTGTGTCTTTAACGCCTTATGAATGATAGAAGGTATAATTACCATACAAGCCATGAGAGTATCCGACAGCTCATCCACTGTCTTTAAAGCATTCCACTCAGAAGTGAATAGAGCAGAAAGGCTACTAACAGGTCGGCGACTGAGTGCATCCACCACCACATTCGCTTTCCCTGGATAGTACTATATAGAAAAGTGATAGACTTTCACAAACTCCAACCATCTCTGTTGTCTCATATTTAGCTCCCACTGAGTGAACAAATATTGCAGACTCTTGTGATCGCATAGGTTCTTTATTTTCTTATTATAGATGAACACATCCAGCTTACACCATCCATTGTGTAGTTAACGATAGCTCATTGCAAAAAGAACTCGCGTCACAATTCATCCCCGTTTCTAATGATCATCATGAATTTTTATAAGCAAAAGAACATTTGGATTCCTCCTAGGGCATATCATCAGCGTATTAAGCCTGAGTTAGATGCTTGTGCTTTGAACAAGTCCAAATCAACCAGGGACAATGTAAGCAAGGCTCAAGGAGGTGCTGATGAAACTACTTCACAAGCTCCGGAGGTTACACATCTATTTCCTCCCAAGGGAAATTCTTATAGAACTAATGCCAACATGTTGTATTCTCTTCTATTTTAGAATTAGCAAACTATTCTTCAGAATCAACAGTAAATGATGGATGATCTTAGAGAGCTTAAGCTTGAGATGAGACAGCTTAGAGGACATCATCCAAGAGGTTTTTCAGAGGATGTTTACCGACCTGCTCCTCCAGATCAATCGTTGAGGGCTGAGGATGATGATGAGGATGGTGATGATAAAGATGGTGATGAAGATAATGGTTGAGATGTTTGATTTTTGATTTTTTTTGACATTATTTTTGAGGAGATAATGACGCTGATATTTTTTGTCTATTAAGCATGCATCATGACATCATACTTTGGTTAACATAGTCATTATTTTTGGATATTATCATATTTTTACTGAATGACATGTTTAACTGATTTAAACTGTTTCTCTTTTATTATTCTCTGCTCTGTAATTAATATCTTTGTCAATTTGTTTCAAAAAGGGGGAGAACAATGTTATCTCAAGGGGGAAAAGAAATTTGATATTTACTTAAGGGGGAGTATTGTAAAAAAAAAATATATATATATATATATATATATATATTATTATTAAACTTCACTGGTAGTTTTTGCTTGATATTGTGTAAGAAATCAAGTCAAATCGGTTATGCAAGAAGAGAAGAGAACAGAGAAGAAATTTCAGAAATTCCGTGTTGTCCTTTAAACAAAATTGTAATTTACTTTTCTGCATAGGTAGATTTCCTAATTGTTTTTAGGGTTTTGTCACGAAATTGCCAAAGGGAGAGATTGTGAGATATAAATTCTATAATTTGCAAATTTCAGTGTCAAAATTAACAAGTCCAATCGAGTTGTAATTTCAAGTTACTATATCAAGATCGAGATCAACTGCAAAATTGGAAGGTTGTTCAAAGATGGAATACTGAGATCATCGAGAAAGGAAAGAACAACACTTTAGGAAGAAATCCAAAAAGGTTAGGACACGTTCCATACTTAATATATTTTCATAAATTACCAAAATAGTGTTTTTCAAACCTTCAGAGCTTTAGGATTCAAGTTTGGCAAACTTGAACCGGTTCAAGCTTTTTGGAACTGGTTCAAGAACTTTAAAGTCCCTTTGAAATTTCACTGCCATTCTTGAACAGGTTTAGCCTTTCTTAAACTGGTTAAAGAGTCTTCTACAGTTTTAGTAACTATTGAATCCTGTTTTGATTTTTTTCGTAGTTGGTTGGAATTATACCAAAAGTCCTATGCACGAAATTTCCTTATTTTCTGAAGGATTAGATCTTTCAAAATTCTATATAAATCCTAATATTAATCTAGGTTTAGTACGGCTTTTGCATTAGAACTTCATACTTCGTAAAAGCCTTAGGAAGATTATTTTTGTAGAAAATCCAAGTTGATTTCTCTGGCAGACTTTCTAGAACATACACCTAAACACAGAGTGAGTTTACAATCTTGTTCAAATCCTGATCATGATAATCAAAGTCTTGCATCTACAATGATCAGAGAAAAAAGCAGATCTACTTCTATATAAAATTCAAATATCGAAAAACAAAAGTAAAAGTGATCACACTTTGAAAGGGTTACAGCATTCGAGCAGTGTTGTTTGATCTACCTGTAACATTCTACAGAGATCAAGAATAAGCCTGAGGTCAAGTGCTGTTAGACGGGACGTCGCAAAGCTCGAGGATTGTAGCTATTGGTGTTTGATAGAACGATAGGGTGTGAGCCTGAGTCAAACTTTAATGAACTTTGTTTCAAACATAGTGGATTGGTTTACTTTGGACTACACAGTCCACAAGGTTTTTTCCATGCAAAAAATTGGTCTATTTTACCAATTGGGGTTTTCTTGATAAAAATTCTGGTGTCATCTATAACTCTATTACTTTGCTTTATTTTATCTTACATGTGATTAATTAATTAATTGCTAAAACAAGTAAAGTTAAAAAGACACAAGTCTGTTTCTAAAAATACAAAACTTTCTGAATATTCCGCTGCGTACGACTCATAAACGATACAATAGCAATGAGGATGATTTTTATGACAGGATTTCAGGCTTTCTAATGGCTTTATCTAAAAAATCTAAATAAAAAAGGTCTAAGCTAACAGGGATCGCAGACTCACAAAGGTTGTTCATCCTAGAGAATATGTTAGGAAACATGGGTCTAAGCAGGTAGGGATCGATTAAAAATTTTCGATTTGGGTATTGGAAAAATGTTAGAAATAATGTTTATAAGTTCGATTTTTTTTTATTTTATTTTACAAAGTCATGTGTAAAATGTCTATGTAAGGGTGATTTAAACAAAGTCTAATTTTAATATGTCATGTAGGACTAATTTGTACAATTTGAAATATGGCATGTTTTTTGGAGGGTTGTGATACGCACCCTAACTACAATTGAGAAGTATTTGTCTCACTTAACCCTATTTTCAAATCAGGAATTTTTTCTCCCTCAAAGTCGACAATTGAAAAACCAAACAATTATTCATAGACTAGATCTGATGAATAAGTAGACTTCACCACATTCATGGTTTCAATATTCATTGACTAGTCTCATTATTACGGACTCTAATGTTCTGCATAGTCGGTCTCAATGTGAAATGTATTGGCGGATAAATTAACGAAGAAGAACATCATACATCGGGAAATTGAGCAAGGAAACTTGTAATATATCCAAAGAAAATGACCTTGTAATCCAAATGATTGCGTCATCCACAGATATCCGGTTAGTTTACCAAGAGAGCTAGTTTCGAATTATAATTAAAATTGTAAGACATGATATAACTCTTCAATCATATAAAAGAGTACAAATAACTTGATAATAACAATCTCAATGGAATTTTTTCCCCTTATTAAAAAGTCGAAGGCAAAGTAAGCCAGCCATCGAGAAAAAGAATTGAAAGCCACACCTATAAATAGTAATACAAGCACACAGCCATGAAACCATATATTTCAGTACACGGATTAAGTTGTATCTAGTTGTAGGCATCAGGATTTGCCAAGAGGTAGGCCTCAACAGCCTTGAACATTCCCAAAGCTTTTTCTTTGCCACCCTTGATTTGGTCCTCTGTGATCCCAACATCGCCTTTGGTATGGTATTTGCTACTGTTCTTGCATACAGATCCTCCATCAGAGGAAGCTTCGATCTTGATCTCGTAAGAGATCTTTTGAAGCACACCCATCAAAGCATCACCTTCAATGATGCTATAACTATAGGCAAAGTTGCCTTTGTCAAGCCCATCAACTTGGTGTTTGACGCTCTTGAATTGGCTGCCTTCGCCAAAAGAGATGACCTTGACAGTTCCAACTCCACCATCTCCTTGGATGATTTCAACACTCTTAATTGCTTGTGGCAAGATCTTGGGGATGAGGTTGTCGGCATCAAGGACAAAGGCCTTGAACATCTTGGCAGCAGGGATTGAGGAGGTAACCTCCATATCATAACTGATCACACCCATGATGTCGAAATTGATTTAAGGAAGAAGAAGAAGCAGAGTGTGAAGGGTTGATTGGCTTGTAGAGTGGTTTTGGTGTAAGGGAAATGAGAGAACTGAAGCTGGTATTTATAGTGACAAAGGCTAGAATTTTCAAATTTGGGTGCTAGGAATTCTATGCAAGTAATAATTTGATTCGAACAACCATGGGTCCATCCCAGCTTTAATATCTAAATGGTACAGGTTGTTTTAACAGGTGGTTTTAACAGATTCATTCGAATTTCAGTGAAGAGAACTTTTTACTAGACTCACAGACTAGCTTGACCTCATACCTGTGGATCCAAACATGTTTTACCCAACCAACAAGCATCAAATACTATATGGGCCCGATAAATTGTTTTAGACAAAAACCATTAAATAAATCAATTTTAGACATCAAATTTGACCACCTACCAAGTGGTTGCATAAGCTATAGAACGAAGACAATAGGCACGTTCTGACCTTCTAGTAACCACTTACTTTATATAGTGCACTAGTTTTGAATAGAATGGATATTCTAAACTACACTTTTATGTCTCCTTTGTAAGTTCACATTTGTAGATCTTACAAATAAATTCCAAGTCCTTATACCTTAATTATTGGATACATACATTGTTAATTAAAGACTATAAGATTGCTCAACTTTATGATCCCATGAGATCCAAGAAAAGCTCTGAAAGCTCTAGGAAATGGAATGAAATAACATAATCAATTTTATGAATTTTACACCACTAAGAGCAAAACATTAAACTTTATAGAGCACTAACAGCAATTCTATCAAATTTTATTTATACGGGTAAAATTATATAAAAGGTTTCAATTACTTTAATTATCCAAATACGCTAAAGCGCGGGATCTAAAAGATTATGTTACGAACTGTCCCAAAAATCAACGAGCGAAATCCTTCTGAAAACGAACGAAGTTGTTGATGGTCTTTCTCATCGATAAAGCGGATACCAGATACAAATACAAATACATAGGGTTGATAGCTACCTGATACACATACAAAGACATTGAGAGAAAAAAATGAGAAGAAAACCATGAACGGAAAGAAGGCCTTTCTTCTGATCGTACACACTATACATAAATAAGTGATAGAGATGTTTTAAAAAATTGAATCTTAATAACCCAAGGATATTATAAGATGTCGTTTTCAATTCTTCATTCTTTTTCTCTCTTTCTTTCTTCTCTTCTTCTAGGCAGTTTCCTTGCTATTTTAGTTCATGGCCATAAATGACTCTTTATTCTTGTTGTAGAAACCCTTTCATTGTAGGATGAATTTGAGTTTTTGAAGACAATGATGACTTTATTTAGGCCTAAACCTTCGCATTCCTCTCCGCCTATAACCTTGGTATTGTTGAAACTGGATCTCCAAATTGTCTAATGGAAGAAACCAGGCTTTCAAAAGGCACTTCAATCATGAGCGTACTATAGTGCACCAAAAACCTGCACTTGTTCCCACCATGTAGAAGCTACTATCTTCAGTTTGTATGCCACCAATTTGACCTTCTTATCCTTTTCAAGAACCTCTCTACATTTGGCAACCAGTTAAGGAAATCTTCAATACGAAGGTAACCATTAAAACTGGGAAGGTCAATCTTCATACAAAAATCCCTCGAAACATAATGCTATAAAAATGAGAAATAATATATGTCTCTCTTACCTGTAAATTCACTTAAGATCTGGAGATAAAACAAGTTCTTAAAAACAAAACAGTTCAATAATATTTTTGTGGGAATGACGGTAAACAATAAAATATTGCGCAATGCTTCCGTGATCCATGTTTACAAAGCTTATATAATTTGTAGAAGGTAAATGGATATACGAACTTTAATTACTTTCATTTATTCAAGAGTCCACCATCATCGTAGTTACTATTTCAATTGAGAAAATAATAATAATAAATTAGTGATGTCTATCATCCTTCAATTGAACTTTAAGAAACTAGTTGATTGACTCGAATCAGAATCATCAGAAAATATAAATGTAGCTAGAAACTGCATATGAATTTCTTATGCTCATCTTTTAGAACGACTCGAATCCGGAGATCCAGATCGCTTATCGGGTCCTTTCTAGAACCTGAGAATGCACAAGGGTACTATAGTCATTTCGTGTAAGGGAGATGGATAATTTGACTTTAAGCAAGTCTAAAGATGTGAATCCAATTCATTTAATCATTAAATAACATTCTAAGAAGTTCTAAGGGCTATAGACTTGGTTTCTCACAAATACGAACTCTCGGTCTAACTGATTTCTAGACACTGTCACACAAAAATATAAATATCTCCCAGTATGATAAGAATCTGAGAAAGGCATTCCTACCATTGGAAAGCTAACAAAAATTCCTTCATTTCATGCTCAAGGATGACCTCACTTGGATTTAAAACGAGGGTAATATGGCCATTTGAAGCCGGCTTAACTGTGTTATGAACAAGGGTACGTGCGAGCACTCGCAAGGCACCCTGCAAGTGCGAGCGCTCGCAACCTATCCGCACGCCTTGTGAGGACCTGTCCTTTTTGCATTTTTTTTTTCTATTTTCTTTTTCCTTTAATTCTTTGAGTTTGGGTCTTGTCAAACTTGATCAAGTTAAGTTTTCGTGAATAGTTTCCGACACTTCTTCCATTTCATCTTTGCGTATTTTCCCCTCAGGTCATTATGGGTTGTATTGCACTTGTATATGTTTTACCTTTTATTACTTAGGGGTATTTGTGCGATTTTATTTTGTTGACATATCCATTTCGAGCGTAGTTGTGTGATTATCTTTTGAAGATTATTTCATTTGAGGCAATAGTGCAATTATCTTTTTAGATATTTTAATAAGGGACTTTTGTGCAATTTATGAAAGTTAGTGCCATGTGTTGTGTTTTAATTGGGACAAGTGTTGGGATTGGATTGGTAGCATGTGGATGGTTAAATTATTGACGAATGGAGGGTGGAGATGTGTGTGTGTGTGAGAGAGGTGGTGTTAGGGTAGGTGTATGTGACTTATTACATTTCTTTTATCATTTTCCTTTCTTTATTTTCCTCCTACACTTCGTCTTCTTAATTCCTCTCACAAAGCCTCCTCCATTGATACCCAAGCTTTGAGCTTATTTACCTTGCTTTCCACTCACCTTTTTTACTAGCCATAAGAGGGAGAAAGGTTGGGGACACAAAGGGCTTCAAAACCCGTGTCCCCATTTTCATTTCTGGACCTTCATCAGGTTGAGGTAAGTTAGAGATTGTATTCTTGAATCGCCATATGAGGATTTTACATCGGGGACACCAAGGGCTTCACCAGGCCTCCTCCATTGATACCCAAGCTTTATTTTCCTGAATCAAATGGCACCAAAAATCTCTAACGCAGCTAAAGGCAATGGGGTTGCACTCCTAAAGCCTTCAAAGTGACCTAGAACGAGCATTGTCATCCGAGAACCCTAAGGCGGTTCTAATGCTCCAAGGGAAACTTCTTCCACTCCTGTGGCAACTGACGCACCTTCACGAGAGGTACCATCTGGGTATCCCTTTGTTTCACCCACGGGGAAATTTGAGTTTAAAGAAGCTTACTTCTACAATGACCTTGCAAAAGGCATACGTTGAAGTCTACAAGGATGGTCCTATTAAAATAGAGAGGAATGTTAATTTGCAAAAGCTTCGTTGTAACGACCCGGTTATTTGCCTTCCTTTCCTTTTTCCTGAAATTTTACGAATGAATTTTTTTCGTTTAATTTTCCTTTCTGAGCTCTGTTTCGTGTCGTTTAGTGTCATCTCGAGTGCTCGAAATTGGTTTCTAAGACTCTTTCATGTGAATTGACAACTTCCTTTGAGGACCGAGTCATTTTCGCATTTTTCGTTTTTGGACACTATGCGCTATTTCGTCTTTTCCCTATTCTGTCATTTTCCCTATTTCGTCTTATCTTCGTTTGTCAGTTTTTGGCACAACCTCACTTTTCATGCTCGGAGTTGGTTTCTAACTTCACGTGCCTTCATCTTGAGTGGTTTCCACGAAATACGTATCTTTACTTTTGCCAGAAAGTACTCTAGTTGCTCCCGGTGTCCATAGGGGCATGGATGCAAAGTTGTTTAAAATTATTTTCTTTTCTTGGGGTGTTTTTCGTAAATATCTTTTGAAGATATTTTATTTTAGGGGTTTTTAAGAAAATATTTTTAGAAGATATTTTCATTTTGAGCCATAAGTGCAGTTTTCACTTTTTGGAGGGGCTATTGTGCAATTAATGAAAGTTATTGCAAAATGTCTTGTTTTGAGCCTGGATCCTCATACGGGATTCATTTTCACATTTCGTCGAGTTGTGTACTCTTGGAATTTCCTCCTGATCGATGTTTTCCAGTTTCAGGGTTTCTGGCTCCGGTTTTCGCCAAACTTGTTTTGGGCATAACTTTCTGCTCAGAACTTGGTTTTTGACGCTGTTTCTTCCATTGTTCATATTTTATAATTTTGAATCTTTTTCATTCACAAAGTTCGGGACACTTTTTGAGATTTCTATAAAAGGGGGATGAGATATTTCATTTTTGATATTCTCCCCTCTTCATGCACGACCTGGAGCTCCCATGGCAGCCCAAGGAGTGCTGCCATCTTCTCTCTCCTCTTTTGGTTCACTTTTCCTTGACGGAAAGTCTTCGGCCTTGACGTTTGTTGTTCCCCTCGCCGTGCTCTACCTTTCCCCCTTATTAGAATTCAATTTTGACCATTTCTTGAGTTTGGTTTTGAGGTCAGGTTATGATTTTGATGGGGCTTTCATGGGGGTTATGTTCACGGCGTTGTCCCCGACAAAACCTAGTAGTTTCGTCGGATTCAGAGTCGTTCCATTTTGATGGCATTTGAGATTTTCATCTCAAATTGAGGTAGGAGTTGTTCTAGGTTTAAATTCTTGTTATTTAGCATGCTTGTGATGCTTATACTACTTGTTTGCATGATTAAATATAAAATCTAGAGATTTTATTATTTATTTTTCTTGTACGGGATACAATTTTCCCGGTTGCTCATGACTTGGTTTAAACATATAGCATGATTTTATATTGCCCCTTGATATGCTCATTATCGTGTATTAAAATTGGAACATTTGAATAAGT